CTAAAATGCATAACATGCATTCATTCAGAGTCAGCTTTCTCACATGTTGTTTGACCTTTTGTCGTTTAGAAACCAGTTTTGGCACCATATTTAAATCGGCCTGCTTTGATGTGCTGTTTGGAAATGTTCAAGTTGTGAGAATTTGTTTTATGCGAATCCCATAATCACAAAGAGATGCTTGATGAGTACCATCTCCCGCCGATACCGGATCAAACAGGTAAACACCTGCGAGCCATCATTGTGCAGCTATCCGTATGGCATTCCTCTGATATGATGTGAGATTAAAACATGTCAGGCTGCAGACTAGATAAACAAAGCCATAATTGCAATGTCTGCAGGCTTTTTTCTCTTCCTGACAGTTCCTCGTCCTAAAACATGCAGCTGTTTGAATCTAATCAGTGGAGGAAGAAAAAAAATCGTCAAAAGCCTTATTGTTGCAGTGTTTTATACCACTTTTGTGGTTCGAAACTGCCAGCGAGTTCCTAAACAAAGCAAACACTATAATGCTGCTGAATTTCTCAACAGTTTTCGGGTTTCTGGCCTCAAGTGCTGGAATATCAGTGGAGCTGCCAATAGTAATACATTAGTTGAAGAGTTAACACGAGACGTTTAAGGCTGTTCTGTAGGATTGAAGAGAGATACATGAGCTTTTGTTTGAAATAAAAGAATGATTTATGCTGCTTATTGGCAAATCAGTATTGCAAATCTCTCTCCGCTCTTTAAGTATTGCAACAGATATTGCAAACGCAATTTGCTTTCATCTCTTGTTTTTCTTTTTTTGTCTTTCTCTAACTGATTGCATGTGAAAAAATGTTCCTTTGGTGATCGTGCAAGTATGAATTGCCAACTAGAGTTTTGCACTTTCTGAAAAAACACACTTGTAATCAAGAAAATAAAAATGTGCTTAACTTATTTAAAATTTCTATTAAACTTCTAAGCTATTTATGTTAGTTTTAGTGTTTATTTTATTTTATTTTTTTTTAAGGTACGGCGTAAACATGTTTTCAAAGTTGTACATAAAACAGATTATTAGAGTAAGTGTTACAAAAAAATACTATTTTAGTCTTTTTTCTTAAAATTTTGCATTTAATTGAATGTTACTGTGGCTTTGTAATTGTGAAATTTACTAGTAATTTCTGAGTGAACATTTTTTCTACACCATTTTTTTCAGCATAGCGTAGATTTATAATATCAGCCTTTTAGTGATTATTGCCCTTAAAGGCACAACATGTAAGATTTGTTTATTAAAATATCCAAAAATCACTAGAACAGTGTTATATATTTTTCTGACTTGTGTACTTACATTATCCCAAATGTTTCGAAGAATGTTTAAATCCAAAGAAATAGCAATTTTAAATAGTGGCTCGTCCCTGGTCATTGTGTCGCCTGCCAATGACATCATAACCCCTCGATTTCCGGTTTTGTTTTGTAGAAAACATGGAAACACCAAAGACGCTTTAATATGTTGTGCGTTTTAATAGACCGGTGACGACCGCACAGAGTAGCATAATAACAGAACTTTCAAATGTATCTAGAATGATAAAACAGTGCTGCTTTACCCCACATACGCACGACCGGAAGCAGCGGAAGCGCTCGACTGTGGCATAATAAAAGCTCCGCTGCTTTACCCCACATACGCACGACCGGAAGCAGCGGAAGCGCTCGACTGTGGCATAATAAAAGCTCCGCTGCTTTACCCCACATACGCACGACCGGAAGCAGCGGAAGCGCTCGACTGTGGCATAATAAAAGCTCCGCTGCTTTACCCCACATACGCACGACCGGAAGCAGCGGAAGCGCTCGACTGTGGCATAATAAAAGCTCCGCTGCTTTACCCCACATACGCACGACCGGAAGCAGCGGAAGCGGTCGACTGTGGCATAATAAAAGCTCTGCTGCTTTACTCCACATATCACACTCAGTCACAGCGTCATCAAACTACGCCTTTGTTTCTTTGTTTGTTTTGAACACGCCCTCTAGCGGCGAAAATTACATATTGTGCCTTTAATGTAAAAATGACTATTTATTGGCTGATATTTAATTCTAAATAAAAACAATTTACCTTTGTTTTTAGATTGTATCAGTTTTCTTTAAGTAGTATAAATATATAATATCGGCCATTTATTGGTTATTGGCCTTAATGTGAAAATTATTATTTATTGGCTGATACGTAATATTTAATTACAAATAAAAACTTTACTTTAGTTTTTAGAGTCTTTCAATTTTCTTTAAGTAGTGTCGATTTATAATATCGGCCGCTTATCGGTTATTGGCCTTAATGTGAAAATTATTATTTATTGGCTGATACGTAATATTTAATAAAAAATAAAAACTATTTACTTTAGTTTTAACAGTCTATCAATTTTCTTTAAATAGTGTTGATTTAAAATATCGGCCATTTATCGGTTATTGGCCTTAATATTGTATGCATTTGTCATTTTTATTTAATTTCTTTATTTTTAAAATGTGTATAAGTCGTATTTATAAAGTTTTAGCTTTTAGTTTTGGATCTGTTTTTAGTTGTTTTAATACTACAGTTGATTGCTTCTGTTGTCCTCATTTGTAAGTCGCTTTGGATGAAAGCGTCTGCTAAATGACTAAATAAATAAATATGAAAAAGATTTATTGACCGATATTTAATTATAAATAAAAACTTTATTTTAGTTTTTACAGTGTATCAATTTTCTTTACGTAGTATAGATTTATAATATCGGTTATCATTTATCGTTTATTAGCCTTAATGTGAAAATGATTATTGGCTGATAGTCTAAATAAAAAGTGTGAAACAAGTTCTCAAGTTCAGCTTCTCGGACTCAACTTTTGTCTCTGAAATTTTAGTAGTTTTCAGTAGTTTAGGAATTGAGCGAATTGAATGATAAAAGTGTTTCTGTCTGACAGGTACTTGAGAAAAGAGAGATTAATGACGTCAGCTGAAATGGAAAGTCATTACATTCTGATGAAATATTATAATGGCGTTTTTGTAAACAGATGAGTCACTCACAACAGGAGGAGGAAATGCTTTAAGAAGCCATTGTGCTTTTTTGTAGACCTCTGACCCCATTCTAATGCTGAAATCCCTGAGTTCAGGTCTGGTGTAAAGCACGTTGCTTTGCATGCATCTGCTGAATGACTGACTTACTAACTGTGAAGATCCCATCAGGAAAGAGAAAGACGCGACCCTGGAGGAGCTGGCTTTGGATTTAGCAGCTGTGGAACTCGTCAGAGACGTTAAACCACAAGCTGGCGTGGGTGGATCGTTTGTGAAGTCCCAGAGAAGAATATGAGCATGTTGAGGAGAGAGTAATAACAGGTTCAGATGAGCTGTCATCAGCGGCGCCTGAGGAGTCCTGATCTTTTCCATTGTACTGCTGCAAATCTGAATTTGCATATTTGTTCTGAATTTTCTCATATTAATGCATCAAGTGCAACATAATCATTGCAGTCTGCATTAGTCATGTCAGTCTTCCACTTCAAGTACACCAGATGCTTTCCTGAGCTTGTGCTGGTGTTTAAAGAACTCCAAAAGGGACAGTTTAGGCTACTTGTACAGACTACGTGCTAAGTTGTTTCTTTCTGGTCCAAGTCAAAATCTCTATTCTGTACTCTAGATGTTGCTCAGATCCCCTCTTCAATGTAAGAAAAGTAAAATGCAGAAATGTTGCATTTTGTTTTATGATTTATTTAGAAAGTTGAGATACTTGGTTCATACCGAACACTATTGACCCAAAGAATTGTTTAGACGTGCAAGTAATTTCAATCTAAATGCTGCAGCTTTTAGAGAAAATATGAGAGAAATGCTGCAAGCTGCATCTTTTCTCTTCACTAACATCACTTTTCTTCATCATTTTGCTCGGTGTGTTTGAATCCAGTAATTTTTAGTGGATGTTTGAAGTCAGTTCTCCTCAAGTTCACACGGGTGGAACCACAGATACTGTAGTGACTGCCTTCGTGATCAACACTATATCTGTTGTCTGGTGTTTGAACATTTCAAACCTTTTTGTTTGGTGTTTTTCAAGACATTACAGGCATCGTTTTTTTTAATACACTGGTCAATTTTTTGATTTTGGGCTATTTTTCTTATTTTACTTTCATAACATGTCGTCTTCTTGATATCCAAATTCATGTATTTTTTTTTTTTTTTTTGCTCATTCAATTTCATTTATTTATTTATTTATTTATTCCTTTATTTGCTCGTTCATTATTTATTTTTTTATTTAATTTCATTCATGCAACTTGACTTTATTCTATTATTTTTATTTTCTATTCATTCCATTTTTTATTTTGTTTATGTATTCATTTATTCACTCATATTTCATTCTACTTTTTGGTTTTATTTATTTAATCATTTGTTTATTCATTCAATCATTTTGTTTTATTTAATTTATTTTATTACACTTCATCTATTTGCATCTGTAGATTTTATGTGATACTATTTAACTGATACAATTTTTTTTCTCCAAAAAAAAAACACTTACACCAAACTTTACAGTTGTATTGCAATTCATACATCATTCACTTGATATATATGTAACATTTTATTTTATAGCATTTTCAGATTTATGGAGTTCTAAAAAATAGATTTTTAAAATCCCCTTCATAAAATCATTTGACTCTAAAATATCAACAAAATGAACCTGGCTTTATCCAATGTTCAGATTTCAGTTCAGGAAATGTTGAAAATTAGTGCATATTTAATTTAAGATCACCTCATTTGCATACTTAAACATAACATTTCAGAAAACTTGTCTTAATGTACTGCGATGAATCAACTGATGAAGTATGCTGATATCTGGAAGTAGTGTGTTGCCTGTGTTAGTTCTCTAACACATGTCCTGTAGGGGGCAGCAGTGGCGCTGCAGGGGGCCGGACTGAACTGAACTGAACTGAAGGTGCCCCTTTCTCCTGCACTTCACTTCGCTTCATATCTTCATCTGCAGCGGACCATCATCTCTTGAGCTCCGCCGACAGACGCTTTTCTTCGCTCTTCTGTATTAAAGTCGCTCGTGTGTTTCCTGAATCTGAGGGATTTGTCTTTTTTATTCCTCTGAATATATATGGATATAATGTTCAACTTGGACCGAGAGATGCACAAGTTCTCTTAACCACAGCAGTGATACAATGGGGAAACTTCACTCAAAACATGGTGAGTTGCACATCTACCAGTCACATAATCGCTAAATATGTGTGTACGCGTATGTTTATTGCTGATTATTGAGTTAAAGGAACTTTTCTGTCTCATAGCATGATTTTAATCTAGTCTGTTCTACTATTTAAATATAGCTTTTAACTTTTTGTGTAGTTTTTTAAATTACTTTTTCTTAACTTTTTTTTTTTAAGTGTTGAAAGGTAGAATTTTCCATTTGTTATTAGGCTGGAATATTATTATTTGTTAGCCTTTTAATATTATTATTAATTTTCTATTGGTTTATAAATAGAATCGAATGCATCTCTGACAGTCAGGCCAGCAGAATAAAAGTTCTGAGATTAGAAATGTCATTAGATTATGATTCTTACATCATGAAAGTAGCTTCGTTTTTCTCTAAATACTGAAAAATGTCATTTCTGATATTAAAAAATTCCTCCTGAGGTCTTATGGAGGTAATGATCAGATCTTTAGGACAACATCGATTAAACATAGTCATAATAATTCGGGAACCATCCATTTATATATCATTTGGACACATATTTTGCCAATCCTATCTATGCATGCTCTTGAAATGCACATGCATAACTATGTTATGAATAATACTCAGATTTTTGTCTTTGTCATTGGGATGCAGCTTGCAAACGTCGGGAAAATCCTGAGGGTGAGTTTTGCATTTGACACAGTTTTGAGTCTTATTTTTGTTATACATTAACTATTTATGGCTTGGACGTTGCAGAACATTTCCTAATGCTTTTCAAATCCACTTTCAGGGGATAGTTTTGTTGTGAACGGCATTATTTCTAGAAGAGGAGTTGAAGGCGGCGAAAGATATGACACCAATCTGAAAGATTATAAGGTAAGAAATGGCTGTTTTTTGTGCATTTGCATCTGAATCTGTCTGGTTATCCATCATAAGGTGAGTTAAGGCTGCTCTGTGCCTGCTCAAAATTCAGCATAAAAGCCAGACTAAAAGATGCCTGCTCTGACAGCCTCCAGTATCAAAGTATACAGTTGTAATTGCTGTGTAAATGCATTTATGCCTCCTCTGAGCAGCATTATAAACAGTGTGTAAAGATGCCTAAATGCCACTTCAGAAGCGCTTCTGTGCCGCTGTGTAATTTAGCAATACATCCGCATCTGTCTTCTAAAGCAGCATCCTAACTGAAATCCAACGCAGTATCTGACTGTTCTACATACAAAAAACACTTCTCTTGGAAAAACCCAACTAATTTCAATCCATGTTTCCAAAGGCTGTAGCATATGCATTAGAAAATATAATGAACCAATATAAATTTTTAAATTCCAAGAATCAATCTATGCTGTTTTCAGCTGATGCATGAACAAAACTTCATGAAACATTATTTGTAATGCCTCACATCCATTAAATCACAATAATCCTTGCGCTTTGTTACTTTTGATATGAAACAAAGTCCCAGCTTTCAAATTCTGTCTATTTTATCATGAAATTCAAACAATAAATTTGGTTTCGGTGCTCTTTAATTTGGCATGACAGATTGCTGTAGCCTCACGTGAACTGATCATCTCTTGCTCTTTACTACTAGTTACGGCACAAAATAAACATGAATAAACATCAGAAGGTGTTAAAAGAAACAGAAAAACTGAAATGAATCATGGAATCAATTAAACAGTGTTTTAACTGCAGAAAAGACATCAATAAAACGGCTTGTAAACAATGTCATGTAAGAAAAGCCATTCAGTGACCATAAACGCAATAGTTAGCTAGAAAAATGAACTCTAGAAAGAAGCATTTTGCTAAATATATGCACTATATTACATATTGATTATATTTTAACTTAACGTGCTCTTCAATATCTAATGCATGTTTGAATAAATCCATCATGAACACAGTTTATAACATCCACTGTTTTTTAAATGTTTATATTTCAACAATAAACTGGAGTAGAAAAATAATTATATCATTAAAAAGTTAGTATAATAAATCATAATATATTTATATGAAATAAAATATATATAAAAATATTATAAATTATAATATTTTTATTATAACATTAAAATTTCCTTGCATGCAATTTTTTATTTCGTTTTTTTAATGTTTGGTTACAAATATAATATATATTTGTTATATAAATACGTTATAAATTATAATACATTTTATTTTATTACATTTTTGAATGTTTGTTTACAAATCACTTTAATTTAGTAATGCACCAACTGACAGGGTTTATTGTCTAGTTAGTTGAGAGAGATATTTTGTCCTTGACATGCACTGTACTTGATCGCCTATATATCCAAATGAGATCGAAATTTAATCGAATCACAAGCTCGTGAATCAAACTCAAATTGACTCATGAAATGTGTCTCAAGTTTGCTTGCTGCTAAGACATAGGATACATATACACAGCACAAAATAACGGAAAATAGAAAAATAGTTTTAGAACTTTTTTTTATCTGTTTTGTATGGTTGCAGTACATTATGGGATTGCTTTTTCCTTTAAAGGATGGATGCATGCAATGCTGCCTTAAAATTTGGCCCAAAAATGGTATCTTTGAGACTAGATTTGCTATGCTTTTATAAAAGTAACCCATGAAATGCGTCTCAGAATGAACTATTCGGCTGTAAGGTTTTTTTCCCTGTATCTTGGTGGAATCGCTCAAGAGCCCAGACGGGAGCTGTACCACAGAAGGAACAACTTGTGGTGAGCCCCGCTGCCAAAGACCACATTCCCACTACCGAGAAATCATCATTACAGCGGCTGAAACAAACAGACGGGAGTGTGCTTTCACAGGGCTGTGCAGCGACACGTCCAGCTCCTCAAGAGGTGGAGAGCTGCTGTTGTTTTGTCGTGTTTGGCAGTGAGACAGCGCCGCGGTGGCTGTTCGCCGGTGGGACTGATGGGTTTTGACGGGCCGTTCCCTGCGGGACTGTGAAATCATCGGCGGGCGTTGAAGGTGCAGAAGCAGAGGCTTTTGTGATTGACAGCTGTATTAAGTAACAGCTGAGAGTCGCGGTTAGTGACATGCATAACATCTGCTTGACACGTTCAGATTATACAGTGACTTATAGGAGTGTCAGATGTCCAGATTGTCTTTTATATATCTAGGCCGGTCATTTTTTGCTCTTTCTCCTCCACTTGAGCAGCTAGCAAGAGTTTTGTCTCATTCTCCGACCACACAATGCTGCTATTTTCTGGCATTTTTCATAAACTGACAGTTTGACAGCCCTAACCTCAGTGATTAACAACAGCAAAGAAGTACATGCCTCATGGCATACATGTGTCAGTAATTGTGTTCACACCATACATTTGAATATTGCAGTGATTTAATGCACTTTTTACTGCACTTGTTCAGACAGAGATTTATTAGTGCCTCTCATTTAAACTTCAGTGATAAAAACGCTTTTTTGAATCATTTCTGTTGAAGGGTTCAGAATGTCCCGTTCAAAGAATCAATTCAAAAGTCAATCTAAAAAAAAGCTCTGATTTGATTAATTAAAATTAAAGACATTCAAGTCTATCAAGTTTGTTCAAATCATTTGTGTGGATGGGTTCAAACTGTCAAGGAATCATATCAAAAGTCTTTGACTTTATTCATTGAATTGGACCGAAATTCACAGGAATCAACCAAATTGACTCACTTGAACAAGTTAGTTTGATTCATTTCTGTGGATGGGTTCAAACTGCCCATTTCAAAGAATCAATTCAAAATACGATCACAGAAATCTCAGAATTGATTCACTTAAATGGACAGAAATGGACAGAAATTAAGCAAACAGACTCTAAGTAGTTTGTTTGATTCATTTGTGTCTGTAGGTTCAAGCTGTCAAGAATTGATTCAAAACTCAATCTCCGAAGTCTCTGAATCAATTAATTGAAGTAGACTGAATTCACAAGAATAAATCAAACCAACTTTAACATGAAGTTTGTTTGATTAATTTCTGTGGATTGAATCAATTTAAAATCTCAAAAAATCTCTGAACTGATTCATTAAAATGGACAGAAATTCACAAGAATTATTCAAACCAACTCAGAAATGGACAGTTTGATCCCATCCACATAAATGATTTGAACAAACTTGTTAAACAATCAGCTCAAAAGTCAATCTAAAAAAAATCTCGGAATTGATTTATTAAAATGGTCAGAAATACACAGGAATGAATCAAACCAACTCGAATCATTTGTGTGGATGGGTTCAAACTGTCTATTTTAAAGAATCAAATCAAAATTCTATCTAAAAAATCTCACAGAATTGATTCATTGAAATGAACAGAAATTCACAAGAATGAATCATACAGACTCTAGCAAGTTTGTTTAAATTATTTCTGTGGATGGACTCAAACTGTCCGTTTTAAAGATTCAATTACTATGGACAGAAATTCACAGGAATGGAACAAACCAACTCCAAGTTAGTTTGAATAATTTCTCTAGATGGGTTCAAAATATCCATTTCAAAGAATCAATTCAAAATTCCCCGAATTGATTCTTTGAAATGAACAGAAGTTGGCAGGAATGAATCAAACCAACTCTAACAAGTTTGTTTGATTCATTTCTGTGGATGGTTTCAAACTGTCCATTTCAATGAATCAGTTCAATGATCAATCTCTAAAGTCTTCATTGAAGCTGATGTGTCTCATTATGCCAGACTCTCACATGTGGTTTCACGTCATTTCAATTAGTCTCACGCTGAAGGATGTCATAGTAAAAGACTCTAACTGATGATTAACCTGCTCTATTAGAAGCCTTATAAAAGTCCTTCCCCTCACGAATGGGAAAGTTATTTGGGAAAATCTGACAGCGGCCTTGAGGGGAAAGCACCGGCGGCGGCGCGGGACACGTCATGTGTCATTAATGGGCAGGTCCAGGGTTTGACTTCTTCAAAGTTTTGGCTCTGATTTGTGTTTTGTCAGTCGTCAAGTACCTGAAAGACTCTGAAACTGTGAGCAAGAGAGCGAGAGACTTTTGATTCGTGATAAGACGCGTTTAGGTTGTTTATTTAGGGTGGATGAAGTGAAAGAGGCACTTTCAGACTAGAGCTTTTGATGTGAGTCCATTTCAGGTCAGCTTTTGGTTGATGTGAAACTCCGGTTTGGACCAAACAACCAAACCACGAGTCACTTGATTGAACTAGTCTTGTTGCATAACATGTTGTAGTTTAGATCACAACAAGCATTTTCTTGTGATGCCATATCGCTTTTGGATTTTCATTGCAAATTAATCTGCAGTATCTCATATTGTGTGTATTTATGTCTAAGCAAACAAAACAAATGTGTGTGTGTGTGCATCTGAATTAGGCTTGTGAATCATGCTGCTGTCTAATCTGCTCTTTGTGATTTTTGAAAACATAATAGTAATCACAGGTTTGTTGTGCCATGTTTATTCTGCTGTAAACAGAATCCTTGTTAACAATGTGTTGATGAGTTGCAGGGATGAATAGTTTTTGTTGTGGGAGCCGAGCGTGCGCAATCATAATTGAATGTCCATTGCATACATTTATTCAAAGAACTTTGTTAAAAAGCAACGATGGAAGAGTTGGAATGAGATGGAATTATTTGCTGCTGAAACCGCTTAATTTGCACTAAACCCAGAACATTCCTTGAAGTTAATGGAAAAGAGGGAATGTGTCTAATAATTGTGTCTGGCCGCCTTTTAAAGTCAGCTTTAGGATTTGGGAGGCAGGTAAAATCCTGATGGCCTCAGATTAGAAAAGGGCCAGA